ATACTGACCTTGAGCTTCAGCCAGCACCCTTTCTCCAAAGTCTCTTCAGTCTGTTGTAACCTAAGCCAGTTGTCATTACTGGGCCTACATCAGACAGGAAATGAAGGTCTTGTTTCCCCAGTGCAGTGATTGAGGCCATAAGGACCTGGTCGTTATTATTATCATCATCCCATGCATTTTTATGGCACCCGTACTTGAACTCATCATTCAATCATTTATTCATTCAGCAAACCCTATTCCAGTGGTTCTTGAAATTTGGCAAGTATCTGAGTTTCCTGGAGGGCTCATTAAAACAGTTTTCTGGGCCCTACTCCCAGATTTTTTGATTCAGTAGGTCTGAGGTACACCTGAGAATTTGCAATTCTAACAAGCTCCCACCGGATGCTGTGGCCTCTTCTGTGTTAGAAATGGGAAGACAGAATCTGCCATCAAGAAGGGAATCTCTTAGCAGAGAGAGGAGATAAGACAAGACGCCCCATTAGTAATGCAAAGTAGAGTGGAATGTATATGCCAGAGCTGCTATGAATGTTCCAAAGGAGAGTTTGCTTTGGTCAAACAGGAATCAGGCAGGCTGCATGGAAGAGATGGCATTTGAAGCCAGCCTTAAAAGGTGGATAGGATTTCAAACACACTGAGAAGGGTGGAATTACTTCCCGCTCGTTCCGCTTACCCAGCTCCGTTCCCCAGGAAGAGGTCAGAGTTGGGAAGTCTGCCCCTGAGATATTTTGGTGGAACTTCACAGGCAGCAGTTTTCCCTGGTTTGGGCTTTAATGGGGGGACTGGGGAATGTTTCTGGACGGTTTCTGGAATTTCCCTGAGATGACATGGAACAGGTTATTAGCAGATCCAGCCAACGCTGCCCAGATTTTCACCTCCTAACGTTTTTTTTCTTTTTAATTTATCTTAAAATACCCATTGTTGAGCTGCTCTTAAGGAAGGCCCAGGGTGTTTGCCACCCCGAGCAGAGAGGACAGCAGGGAGCTGGGGCCTCTTCCCAAGCCCCAACGAGACCCCAGTTCCCTAGTGGTCTGGGCTTCTGGAAAAGGCAGGTCGGTCCGTAGCAGGTGGGCTGGTTTGCCAGTGAATTGAGCTAAGAATAGAACCTAGAAGCAGACTTTGGACTTGTTTCTCACATTTGCTTTTTTATGGAATAAAAGGGAAATTTAAAGGAAACCCTTCCCATCTGTGGCCATGACTGTAACAGCAGCAGTAGTAATAATTAGCTGGAGAACTTACTCCATGGTTCTTACTGTACATGGAGCATGGTTCTGAGTAATCTGCATATATTAGCTAATTTTCCTCATAATGACCAAGTAGGTAGAGAGCATCATTCTCTCCATTTTACACATGAGGGAAAGGAAACCAAAATGACCAAGGTCACAAAGCTAAGGAAATGGTTTTGTGATCTGGGATTTGAACCAGGTAGGGCTGCCTCCCCCCTCTCCCTTCTCCCCCTCCCTCTCCCTTTTCTTTCCCCCCTCCTCCCCCCTCCAACCTCTCTTTTTTTTTTTCTTTTTTTCTTTTAGTCATTCTTATAGGAAACCTGCCCAGTCTTCCAGATAAAGTTGCAAGTCCTCTGAAATCCTCATTTCCCAAATTCAGGCCACAGGGCAGTGGCAAGAGCTCCTGCTGAGAGGTATAAGGGGCCAGGGAGGTCACCCACCATGCTGGAGAAGGAGAGCTAATGTACAGTACGCTTTGGCTTCCTAATGAGGAATTTCCTGCCGAATGGGGAGTGGTGTTTTCCCAAGTTTATAGTGGATTCTGGGGCGCATGCCTCAGTGCCTACATTGGACTGCCATTATTTTTAAAAACATGTTTTCCATTTTGCTTAGCATGACAGATGCTCCCCATCATGAGGTCACAACTTTCAAAGTCGTCATTGGAGAATGTAATCTCTGGGTAGACGTGTACTGGGTGTACTGGGGAAAGAGGGCCTGCTTATGTCTTTCTTGGTATGTCTCTTTCATTAGGTTTCCCTTTTCTAAACTTTGTTCCTTTTTTGTGAAATCTAGCAAAAAGATAAAAAGTTTATACAACTCGATAGGGACTAGTCTGGGTATTAATCCTTTTAAAGTTGAGGGACACCACTTTGACTAGAATGGCTTCCAAGAGAATCCGTTTTGTGAGGGTTAGACAGGAATGCCTTCTGCCTTCCCCACACAACTCTATTAAGTGGAACCAGCTCATTAGGGGTCTCCTCTGGACCTGTACTAACACCTCATCATGCCACTAGACCCATTCTGCCCCAAGTTAGCTTACCACCAGTTTTGATCCACACAAATAATCCAGTTGTCTCTTTTCGTCAGAACCCCAGTCTCCTGCCCTGCCCAATTTTTCCTTTAAAAAAAAAAATCCCTCTTTTTCTATTATATTGGGTTGTTGGAAAAGTAATGACGTATTTTTTCTATGTCTTTCATTGCAAAAATGCGTCATGACTTTTCCGACAACCCAGTACTTCTATTCTAGTTCAGTAGATCTCAGCTTTTTTCTGGATCAAGGATTCCCTTAAGAATTTGGTGAACCCTTTAAATCCTCTCATCCGGAAAAGCCTATAAACTCACTGCATCCGTCAGGATAGGCGAGGTTATGCTGCAATAACAAGTCCAAAATCATAGTGGGCTAAAGCAATAGGTTTATTTCTCATTCACACTATATGTCCATCGCATTAGATGGGAACTTTGTTCCCACTTTATCATCCTCTGGGGCCAGACGGATCCTGAAGTCACTATCTGGAATGTTGCCAGTTGCCAGGGCAGAAGGAAGACTAATGGAGGGTCTCACGTCAACAAGAAATGTTCTGGCCTCATTTCCAATCCCAATTCATTAGTTAGAACCAGTCCTAATGCTTCATCTAATCATAAGGGGGCCAGGAAGTTCACATGCCCAGAAAGGGGAGAGCCAGAATTATTTGGCCAACATGAAAACCAATGCTTTTTTTCCTTTAAAAAAAAAAAAAAGGGGGGCATTATAAAAACTGGGAACTATTGCCTTAGATCATATATGTTGTGACTTAAAAGTTAAAAATGGGTTTACTTTAGGTAAGAAACTGCTGAAAAAATGACTCGGGAAGTAAAAAATAGAGTTAATGTTCATTATCTAATGGGAGAATGTATTTTCTAAATTATAAAGTAACACAGAAGTATAAAGGACTGTGAGATTATGCTGGAAAAAGTAAGAGAAATGTAGGTAGTACGAAAGTGATTAGCCCAGAATCTTTTCGACTTGACTCTGAAATACATTTGGAGTCAGACTGTTCAGCAGAATGCAGTGTGCTTATCTGTGCTGCCTCCCTCCAGTGCAGTCCCACCCTAGGAGACTGGGAGCCAAATAGATCGATCTGAGCCAGTTCACTTCTCAGAGCCCCTTTCTGTCCTCAGCACCATTCTCTGAGGGTTCCTTGAACAATGTCTGTCTAGTCTTCAGTCAGCCAGCAACAGGGGAGAAATGTAAGTTCAGTTAAGCAAGTGTCAGTAAGTGAATCTGGGAAGGAACACAGGGAGACTTTTAACTACAACTTACCTTTGTGTTTTCTGGCTGGGAATGGGGTTTTTCTGTCTGCTGATGAGAAAAAGGGGGGAAAAAAACCCTCTGGCCATTGTCCTCCACCTGTTCTCAAGCCTCGCCGCATAAAATTCTGTTAACTACTGACACCTGCTGAAAGCAGTTAGTTGTCGCACAGCCTCCTGGGGCTTGGCAGCTGTATCACCTTCCTGTCTTACTCTGTGGCTTTGTGGGGAGATTCAGGGGCACCCCTGGGGAATAGAAAGTGCGGTTGCCAGAGGCCACACCCTAAATATCAGTGGGATCTTTCAGAGTATTGAGTTCTGGTACAACAAGAAAAAAAAAAAATCAGGATTCTATTCACTTACGTTTCTGTTTGTAGAGAGAAGGGAGGCTTTTTGTTTGTTTGTTTGTTTACGATATTAACTTATTCTGGCAAGAGATACATGTGGAAGTACTTAAATTCTAAACACAAATTTACAATTACAAAGCAGATGATAAAAAATGCACATAGCATTTGTAATGAAAAAAATTGAAGTTATTCAGGAATAGAGAACAAATGAACAAAAATATAAGCTACTTAATAACAACTCACCTTAAAACTATTCCTTAAATTTTTTTATTGAAAAAATATTCTTTTTATTTCAAAGAAGTACATGTTTATCTTAGAAAAATTAGGAAATGTAGGTAAGCAAAACAAAAACAAAACAAGGGAGCTGGTACCAGAAAAATCTGTTGTCCTGTTATCCAGGAATAACCTCATGATTAACTTCCTGCTCATCCTTCTAGATGTTTATATATACTTTTTATTTTTAAGCATAAATTGGGACCATGTTTTGTAATCTACTTTTTTCACTTAACATCAGGAACATCTTTATATGTCAAAAATACTATTCTAGGAATGAATTTTTTTTTTAATGACTCATATCATTTCATTGTATGAATATATTCCCGGAGGAATTTTACAACTCATCCAGAAATATATTAATTTAGGAAATAAAAGCCAGCAAAAGTAAAATTAATCAGATATTTTAAAGGTTTAATTTACTTTGTTTCCAGTTTTATAAATTGAAAGAAGAAAATAATTAGGAAAATTAAAATTTCTCATAATCCCACTACTTAAAGATAAGTCCCTATTTTTGTATTTTTCCTTCCAGGTTTGCCCCCTCTACATGTATACCTATTTTCAAGCACAATTGCTCGTTAGTTTAAAAAGAAATTTAGAAGGCTTCTCTGCATACATTTGAAGACTGGGGAGGGGAGCTTATATTGGGGCTTGCCAAGGTTCTCCGAGCACTGAACCAAGAGAACGAGTGGGAAATGAGAAGAAATCATTCACCTGGAGAACAGAAGGTGTGGGCTCTCTCCCCCATTCCTCTACCTCTCTCTGAAGCAGGGAGGAAGAAGGGGAGGCTGCTAGTGGCCTTGAATCTAATGCAAGGACAGGCCAAAAGGAGGTGGGAGTGGACTGTTTGTGACAGTGGGAGATGGAATTGTACTGGATTATATCAGGAGCAGAGGAAGTCATTTACACTCCCTAGGGAAGAGACAGGACCTGAGGCAACCAGAATTTTCCACCTCAACCTTGAGGGACTCTTGTATTTGGAGGCTTACATGGTAGAGAAAATCCCCTGCCTGATCTTTTTGGTGATATCAGGAGAACCCTAAGAATGCCTTTATCAGGCAGCCCCTCCGAGGCCTCTGGCAGTTGCCAATCTGCTGAGTTGTGAGGATTTTGAGGGGCTCTTTGGTTTTGGTGAACAGCCTGGTGTCAGCATCAGGAAGGGAGCCTGGGAGTGAGCATTATGGGCTTGAGTAGGGCTGGGGGAAAGATGGGCACCGAGAGAGGCTGAAGTATTTCCTCAGAGATCTCTAAAGAGAGGAAGAATATGCTGTCCTAAAAGGGGGGCATATTTAATACCCACCAAACCTAAAAAATGAGGGAACCAGTGGTGCTGGAGACATGCCTTGGCACTCTTAGGCACTCTTCCCTTCCCCCAACGTCCCTGGAGGCGCCCCAGAGTGAGTGACCTCCTTTACTGTCATTGTTACATTCCCGCCCTCTTCCTTCCCATATGTCCTTCACTCTGTCACAAACATTTATGCACATTGAACACAGTTTGTAAACATGAATTCACTGGGCGAGGCCAGCTTCGACCAGGCGGGCACTGCCGGAGCCCCCCCTGTTCTGAGAACTGCCCTTCTGGCTGATGTTCACCACGTGTCTGCCTCTGTGTCGCCTCCCCGCCCCCAGGGTTCTGGCTGGTGTGGACCATCATCATCATCCTGAGCTGCTGCTGTGTCTGCCACCACCGACGAGCCAAGCACCGCCTTCAGGCCCAGCAGCGGCAACATGAAATCAACCTGATCGCCTACCGCGAAGCCCACAATTACTCAGCGCTGCCATTTTATTTCAGTACGTACCCCAAAAGCCACCCAACCCCGCCCTCAGGAGCCCAGGATGCACAGACCATGTGCATCGGCGGCTGGGGCCCCTGTGGGCAGCCTGCAGCACAGAGCAGGATCTCAAAAGTCCGGGAACAAGGGGGCGCTCACCTTTAGCAGAGGAGCCAGTGCTGTGGCTGCAACTCCTTGTAGCCTCCGGGCCATTCCACATCCACCCGGGCTGGGTTCTGACGGGGTCTCAGCTCCACTAGCAGGTTTTTTAGGCAGGTGGTTGGATGGTATATATGATGTGAGTGAGTTCAGGAGTCTGAAATCCTCCCATTTTGCTTGCTGCCATGTGATACGCTGAGCAGAGGCTGCCATGACAGGGGAAGGTGTGCGGAGTGACACTGGGACTTCCTGAAAACCAGGAAACTTGGTGCCTCACTGAAGGGTACTCACCTGACTTCCCTAGGCCTCCTTACACATGATCTCTCAAATGGTCAGTGGAGGCCCCGCTGTGCAGCTTGTCTAAAGCCATCCTGCAGCGTGTTCTACAGAAAAAAGGAATTCCACATCTGGAAGGGATAAGTGCTTAGCACAGTGCCTGGCATATAGTAAGTGCTCAGTAAATGCTAGCGATTATTGTTACATTATAATCAGATCAACAGTGCTGCAAAGCATTCAGCAGTCAGAAGATACCTCACCTGGCATGTTCTTGATAATCCTTGGATGACAGGCCCCTCATCTCACCCTTCGCTGGTAACCCACCCACCCGCTCTCCACCTCAGTCAGGACGAGGTTTGGTTTGTCTTTCCAGACCACCTCCACCCACTCTAGAGTGAGACACAACACAGATTTTTAACCTCCCAGGAAAAGGTCCCCTTCATGGTATACACCTGGAAGGGTTGGGGGGAGAAAAAAGTGGTCAGAGAATCTTAAGTTAGGGTCCCTTTACCCTGAGGCCCATGGGACGTAGATGGAGGACACAGTCTAGCCATGAAACATGAGACATGCGTGCATGTGAAACAGGTCCGTTCCAGGCAGAAATGTCTCTTGGCCATCCACCACATTTGCCTAACCCTCAGCCTTCACTCCAGACCAGACAGGCAGAAATCTTTGCCTGTGAAGCAGCTTTAGGGGCTCTCAGGTTTCCAGAAGCTAGGTTAGGTTACTCCCATAACCCTCTGCCCTGCCCACAGCCAAGAGCTGTAGCTGTCCCTCAGTGGGTATGCTGTGGTTGAGAAGAGTTGTATGTTTAGTGTGAGCTTTACAGTCTGTCCTAGAACAATTGCCAGTACAGTAATTTCTCCTCCCTACCTCCTCATTTTAGGGTTTTTGCCAAACTATTTACTACCTCCTTATGAGGAAGTGGTGAACCGACCTCCAACTCCTCCCCCACCATACAGTGCCTTCCAGCTACAGCAGCAGCAGCTGCCTGCACAGTGTGGCCCTGCGGGTAGCAGCCCCCCAGGCGCCGATCCCACCAGGGGCTCCCAGGGGGCGCAGAGCAGCCCCTTGTCTGGGCCCAGCAGAAGCAGCACGAGACCTCCAAGCATCATCGCTGACCCTGAGCCCTCTGACATGCCAGCCAACCCAGCAGCCACCAAAGCCCCTGGAATGGAGCCCAGTGGCTCTGTGGCTGGCCTTGGGGAGCTGGCCCCTGGGGCCTTCCTGGACAAGGATTCCGAATGTAAGGAGGAGCTGCTGAAAGATTACAGCTGCGAGCCAGGTAGTGCCCTCCCCGACAGTAAGGACAAGACGCCTGGCAGACATCGCCGCTTCACGGGTGACTCGGGCATTGAAGTGTGTGTGTGCAACCGGGGCCACCACGACGATGACCTCAAAGAGTTCAACGCGCTCATTGACGACGCTCTGGATGGACCCCTGGACTTCTGTGACAGCTGCCATGTGCGGCCCCCTGGCGACGAGGAGGAAGGGCTCTGCCAGCCCTCCGAGGAGCAGCCCCGAGAGCCTGGGCACCCCCACCTGCCACGGCCTCCCGCGTGCCTGCTGCTGAACACCATCAATGAGCAGGACTCCCCAAACCCCCAGAGCAGCAGCTCCCCCAGCTAGAGCACCCGGGAACTTGGCAAAGCAACCAGGGTAGGGGAGAACCACGAGAGAAGCATTAAGTGACTTTCAGAGAAAGTGGCACAGCCACTTGGTTCTTTTTTCTTTTTCTTTTTCTTTTTTTTTTTCCTCCTCCTCTGCTCCTGCATTTTCCTATATCTCCAGGTACAGTTTGGGGTATGGATGCCTCTCTCCCGCCACAGAAGCACAGTGTTGTGGAGGGCTAAGAAGTTGGCTCTGTGACTCATTCCTCATACCCGACCCCTCCCCACCCTCCCCCATCCCCTTTTTCCCCCTTTTCCAGTCACATCTCACTACCTGCTTGGGTCAGAGAGATATGTGTTTTAGGAACCCCCAAAGAAGGGGGCTGAGACTGTGCCCTGGGGTGAGTGACTCTTGGTGATGGAGTGCATTTTTTGGTGTTAGTCTCAGTCCGGGAAAGGTGGCAGGTCTTGGCCCTGGGTGAAGAAGGAAGCCCGCAGAGACCCAGGGGTTGTCACCCCTCGCCACTGGTGTCTGCAGAGCCAGAATTGGGCTAACACTGGGGCGGATGAGAGCGGACGGGCAGTTGTGCGGTAGGTTGGTGGGGGGCTTGTGCTCTCAAATTCCAGGTGACGGGATCGATGCATCACGGTGCATCCTTGATGGGCCCTGCCCGGCAGCTTCTGCTCGGCTGCAGACTGGTTCATGTGTAGAAGATTCTACTGTTGTCTCTTTGGTTTTTCTTAAAAAATAAAATAAAAATAAAAACAAAAGCGAGCTAAAAACAAGAACTTGACCAGTGGGCAGGCAAGAATTCTGTTCTGGAAAAGGGAAGTTGGTGGCTCTTTGCCAAGTTGGCCTTCAAAGAGCCTGGCTGTAGTGGAGGCAGGAGGTGTTTTGTGCACCTGCGGGTGAGGGCTGCCCCTGGCACTTCTGTGGGTGCACAGCAGGCCCTGGGCCGTAGTGGTGGCCAGAGGTGCAGCTGTCTGCATCTCTGCCCTTTGGTCTGTGCTCGCAGGTGACCAGGGCCCTCCCCCATCCCAAGCACACAGTCTGCAGGCCTTCGTGTCTCACTGTTCTCTGTGAACAAATGAGGAGGCTGTGGGTCCTGAGGGAGGGCAGCCCCACCGCCTGGCTCTCCCACAGTATTTTCTCTTGATCCTGAATAAGTTTTTTTTTTTTCCTTTTTTAAACTGACCACTTAGAAGAAATGCCTTGGTTATCTGTGGTGTCATGCCCTTTCCCTGCCCCCCATCCCGTGAGTGGGGTAACTAATTGTAGCCTATGAAACGAATCCAGGTGGTTCAGGTAGGGGGTGCAGGCAGCCGTCCAGAAGGAACACAGGATCCTCATTACTGTAGTTGGGCTTCAGATAACCAGTTGAGCTTTGATAGGAATCTGTGTGGAGAAAGCAAATAGCCGAAATTAACATTCCCTGCCCAGCCCTGTTCATATGAAGAGTCTGGTTCCTTCCGCACTCTTGAACGATGATATTCAGACTAGGCATTGACGATATGGTAAGAAAGGAAAAAAATATATATGTATACAAAAATAGACAAATCCAAGGCTGCGAGGTGAACGAGTGTCTGCGTTTGGAGTCCACAAAACCAAAATCCATGTTGAACCAAGTGAAGTCCGTATACAGTGACTTTTTAGATAAACCTGTGTGTGTCTGTCCATTGTGTGTTGAGCCCCTGACCCTGTTTTCCTGTGAATATACTTTGAATGGCAGCCATTCTGCTCACATTAACCACACGTTTGGAGCAAATATGGCCCTCTCAAGGTAATTTATTTTACGCATTTACTGTTTACTGAACAAATGTCTGACTGTGTACTCGGGTGTATTCAGCAGCATTGTTGACCGCAGTCCCCAGTGTCTGCCAGCAATGCTGTGCTCGAAGTAGAGGTTTTACTCTACCCATCACTGCAATTTGCACATTGCTCCGTGGACACTCGGAGGCCTGTGTTCTGTTCCCTGTAAATGGAAACGTGCTCTGAACCTGTCTGCTTCCCTCGGCTGCTCCTGGCCCTGAGTATCAGCCCCCAGGGGGTGTCCACAACCACTTGGGACAGAAGACGAAGGTGGAACTTCAGACAGAAGCTTAATTGGATCTTCAGTGACAAGCTTGGACTAGCTGGGGCCTAGACGTTGGCTGTGCCCAGAATTGCCAGGAGGGTTTGGCAGACACCACAGGGCTTACCTCCCTCTGCTGAGGCCCAGTGTATGCCAGCAAGCTGGTGTATGGCGAGAGTAGGCGGGAGTGCGTCAGCAGCCCTCAGAAGCCTTCCCTTCCACCATCTAAAAAAAAAAAAAATCCCGAACAACTTACTGAAGAGTCTCCAAGGAGATCAAGTTTTACCAAAATGAATCCTTCTAGAGTTAACTGATCAAATGGATGAATTCTGGCCCTCTCAAGTTTCCTTCCCCAGTTCGAGTGGGGAACTGGTCTGAGCGTGAACTGTTAGGTTCACTGCAGCGTCCTACCTTAACAGCACAAGAAGATGGAACCGGTGGAGCTGGGCGTGATTCCAGCAGTCACAGTCTGGCCTCTGATACAGGAGGCCACCCTACAAGGAGACAGATGGAAATCGGGAGTCGAAGGACTGGTTAGAGGGCCAGGGGGGTTTGATTGAGTCAGGTTTTCCAGGTGAAAGAAGGAAGGGGTTGGTTGAGGGTTTGGTGCTACAGTCGGAAGATTTGCAAATGCTAACACATTCCTATGTGAGGCACATCACCATTTGTCAGTTATTGTGAATATGTGTATTTTAAGCAATAAGATTCAGCTGGTCAGACTTTTCTGGGCAGTCTCGGTGACACATTTCCTGTGCTGTGATTGTTCTGAAGACAGAGTGGCTCTAACCACTGTGAGAAGCCCAAATAAAATCGATCCCAAAAATGCTACTGTGCTTTTTTTCTTGAAGTCCTTTATTCCTTTTTCCTGCACCTCCGACTTCAGGGAGTCCCACCTCAAGATTACTAACTGTAAGCGCTTTTCCCTTCTCATAGAGGCTGAGATAAGTCACAGCGGTTGAGGACGGGTTCCTGGGCCAAGCAGAAACCTTAGAACCAAGGGCAGGCCTGGTAATGCCGCTACTGAGGCCACACTGCGCTGAGGAACTTCCCTCAAACCCTCTGTCAAGGGTATATGTCTGGCATTTGAATGCTTTGTCAAGTCCCACAAACAGGTTAAAATCAGATCCCAAAAAATAGAAACACGTTTCGTTAGAAACCTCTAAGCTAAAACATGACATTCAAAAGTAAGCAAGCTCTCTGAAATCTCTTAATGATATGATAGAAATGTGGGTGGGTGCTTTGCCTTGAAATTTAATAGGCGAAATATATATCAGAGAGCCTCCTACTTGATGCCCAGCACTGTGCTGGAGGCTAAGGAGAATGCAAAAGAAATATGTAAGTGCCCTGCCCTCTAGAAGTTAAATTGTACTTAGGAAGACAAAACATACCTGTGTGAAATGGTCAATATGAGGTAGATTGAGATGAAGTGAGTGGTGCAGATTCAGAGACAATTGGAGATTCATGCGAGGTCGTTTGAGGTCATGCATACCAGGCAGGGACCTCAGAACTGATTCGTAAGCTGCAGGGGAGCCACTGGTGTGCCAACATCTGCCATGGTGGGACAGTGATTCTTGCCTAAGACTCATTGTCATTTTACTCTCTGCTGGTGACTGTCCCCAGAGCTTTGAGTCAGATGTAAGTCCCAGCTTGAAGGCAAGAAGCAGCCTTCACCTCTGCCCTGCCCTGGAAGACTTCTTTTTGGGCAGCCTGCAGGTGGGCAAAGCAAGATGATGTGGAACCCTCCTGGAGGGGGTTCCTGCCTCCCCAAGTGGAGCACTCCCTAGTGGGCCAGCGGATGTCTTCCCTAGCCTCTGGGTTTACCCTGCAGTCAGCTCTTGTTTCCAAAAATCCAGGGTAAGCCAGACATGTCCCCGCCCCCATCTTAGACACTGGGCCAGAGGACACTGTTGTAGCCCTTGAGTGACTAGTGGCATGGTTGCTGACTAGTTCCTTCTAAACTGTTGGGCTCCTCCAAGTAACCCCAGCAGAGTCACATTAGCATTCAGAGACCGTTCTGTTCTAAAATCACAGGGAAGAAGTGGGGGAGCACATCATTGCTGCCTTCTTTAATGTCTGAGTGGCACAAAAAGTGTACAACTCTTACAGGCTGTGTGCCAGAGGCTGTGCAGTACCCTTGATGCCCAGGTCTGTAGGGCCCCCTTCACTGCGCCCCAGGCTCCTGGGTCACTGAGTTCCTCATTTCATAGTCTGTTGCCCCAGGTGACCAAGTTCAAGTGGAGACAGTACCAATGCCCTGAAGCATGAACTAGAGTAGCTTTGGTGAACAAGAATTTCAAGAAACTCCTCATTCTCCAGTTTCCTCTGTTCAGCAGGGGGTCAAAAACGGTTTGACTCCAGTGAAGGACAGTGGGTTTGACTAACAGTTGGCCCTACTGCAAAAGGCAGTGGGTCCCGGAAGGTGTTTGGGATATGGGTTTCCAGTCGGGGCAAGCGACTGGCCTTAAGAGCTGAGCCTCTATGGAGCACCTACTATGTATTAGGCATTGGAAATGCAAATATGCCTTAGACCTTGCTTCTCTAGAAGAGCTATTAGTCTGGAGAGGAAGAAAGGCATGTGACAGTTTCAGTAGCAGACAGTTGAGCAGTACGTGGTAAGTAGCGTGAAGCGTGTGTGCACAGGACCCTGTGCAAGAGAATATGGCCCAGCTGAGGATTCAGGGCAGCTTCCTTAGAGACCTCTCAGCGGAGCTTGCCAGGTGAAGAAAGGTGGAAAGGGAATTCTAGGCAGATGTTCATTCTGTAGATTATTGAATGCCTACTATGTGACAGGTGCTGAAAAGCACAAAAAAGCATGGGAGGCCTAAAACAGAGAAGGAGGAGTCATGTCTAAAGCTGGGAGCTATTTCATCTTTCTAGATAATTGCGTCCTGGGAAGTGACAGGAGGTGAAGCTGGAGAGGTAAGCTGGTAATAAAAATAATTTGTCTTTATTGTTTCATTTGTTGACTTTACACAATGCTGGCTCTTGTGTAAGCATCTTACCTGCATGTTTTCATTTCAGCATCAAAACAGCCCTTTGAGGTACGAACTGTAGTTACTCCTGCTTTATTAATGGGGTTGAGGCATTCAGAGTGAACTAACTTGTCCAAGATCATGCAGCTAATTAAGTGGTAGAGCCAGGATTTGAACCCACATCGGTTGACTCCAAAGCACATGCAGTCAGCTAGTTGGCATGACAGTTGTAATGTTGGTGTCACATGAAGACCTTTTGTTTTCAAAGGTGAGAGGGAACCAGAGAAAGGTGTGTTGAGCAGGGAGTAGCATGGTGAAAAGTGAACCACACACCGTTTCCTCAGAAACTGAGGGGATAACCTTTCCCCCTTGCCTTGTCATAAGCCTCCGAGGGCCCCCACACCCAGTCAGGCTTCACCTGCCAGAGCCCCTCAGTGCTGAAATGGCCTCTGCCTGGGACAGGTGGTACCTGCTGCAGGTAACCCCTTGGAAACACTGTAAAATTCTCAGGAATTAAAAGTTTGTATCTTTTTCCTTGCAAGAGTGTTTTGCTCTTCCTCTGTGGAGATAAAAAGAGAGCTTTGGGTGGCTTGTGAAGGGGAGAAGAGGATTTTTGCTTGATTTGTGGTTCTCCTCACCTTGTGTAAACCTGTTCCTCATCACAGTTTAACCTATCATTGTACATCTCAGCAAGCAGTCTCAAGAAACCCAGTACTACTGGAAAATGTTACAAAACGCTCAGTGTGGGAACCGTGAAAAGTTTGTCTCTGGGCTGTCCATCCACTCCCTGGCTACAAGACTGCCCGGCTGCAAGCTGCAGCTACACGAGTAAGTTCCTGGTGATCCTGTCCTTCCGATGGACTTGTTTGGACACACCCGCTCCTCCTGACCCAGCTGGTGGCCTCTGGGAGGTTCGTATAAAACCCTTAGAGAAGGACTTATTTTGTGGATCTGGATATGGGCAATGATAATAAAGCCAGTATTTATTGAGGCACTGAACATATATAGGTCCATGTTTGATGCTCAGCAACACTGAGGTTGGTGGTACTATTTCTATGTACACCTCAGTCACTGTATTACAGATGAGAAAACTGAGGTTTAAGAAGGCCAAGTAAGTTGCCCATGGTTCATTTGGTCCTTAAATGACAACACCAAACTTGCCTCCCCAGCCTGACTGCTTATCTTCTGTAACTCCCGTTGGTGTGGAACTCCTGCTTACAAGCCCTTTCTGCTTTTCATCCTCACCAGGGCCTCAGATAATGAGCGGCACAGGTGGTAAGCTACCCCCACTTTACAAATGAGGAAACGGGTTCAAGAAGTTAGCAATGGGTCTAAGATCAGGGCTGGGAAACGGGAGAGTCTAGGGACTAGAGTCTGGGTGTTTGGGTCCTCCTCATCAGGTCCCCTCCCCGCCATCCTCTGATTGGACTCCTGCCCTGCAGAGCTGGGTGTTTATACCCATGAGTGTGAATAGAGGGAGATCGCCTCATTTGCTTCAGGTTTCATGGCCACCAGAGGCCCACAAGAACATTCGTGCACTATCACCCACCCACACTTCACAGCAAGGTTACCAGGGAAGGATGAGGACTGTGGGGACCTGCTCTTCTGAAGAACAGGGAGGCCCATTTCTCCTAGGAGGGCCAACTTACAGCTCATAAGAGCTGATAATTAAAATTTCAGGAATTTCACGCACTGTTGTAAATGGTATTTACTATATATTATAATGGTTAATAGCAATGCTACTGTGCATCTCTTCCCAAATCTGGTCAGTGATATCACATTGGTGGCTTGACATCGGCCCTGGTGGGAGTGTTTATATCATTGCAGTCGGCAAACACTACAAATCAGGGCAATTCCCCACCACCAGCACCAGAGAACTAGTTGTTCAACATTTATTTACCATCACATCACTGGTGAAGGGCAGTCAGGCTCACAAGGTGACTGGGGTCTTGGCACCGACCTTCCACTTATCCAATGATCTGGGCCTCCTTGTACATAAGGACGTGGAGACTATCACCGGACCAATTAGTAAGTGACCTAGAGCATGCGACTCAGTTCTCTTGTATGGCTAACGTACTTGTCAAGTGCTGACGTTCAGGATAAAGAAAATGAGAGGGCTCAGTCTTGAACTCCAGAGATACAGGAATGGGTGGTGTCCCTTGGGAACACCACACCCATTTTAAGCCCAGGCAGGTGCTCTGATGCGTATGTGATTAGGTACCAAGGAACAGAGGCTGGTGCCAAAAGGGGACAATCATGGTGGGCTGGGAGTCTTGAGATATATCCTGGAGGAGGGTTTCACTCTGAACTTGGGGTGGCAGGATCTAGGTCAGTGGGAAAAGTTCTTCCAGGCAGGAGAAGGGCAGCTTGGGCAGGAGGCAGAGATCACAAGCTCATTTCCTGAAAGGACACTCAGCTTTGTACTGTCCCTGGCTAGACACCTGAGAGCCCTTCTGCATGGACACGGGACAGGTGGGAGGGCATGTCAAGCTTCTCATCCTGCATCATTGAAATCATGGGTTCTGGTCCCAGTCCTTCCGCTAAGTAGCTGTGTGACTTAGGGCAAGTCCCCTTCCCACTCTCCCCTACTGGCCCTCAGTTTTGTCATCTTCAAAATGAAAAGTTAGTCTCATTTCCCTGCCATTCAGTGATCTGATTCAATAGTTGGAGAGTAGATGTTGCCACCCCAATTACACTCCCCACTGCTTCTATAGGAGACTCGTTATTTATCTGCTCGTTATTTATCTGTTCATCACCAGTCTGCAAAACGCTTTTCAAATTCTGAGCAAATTTGGAATACTTAACTCCTCCAGCTGGTCCACTCCCCTCTGCTTTGAGCTGCGGGTAGCTTGGCACTAGACCAGCAGCCAGCTGATGGGGGCAGAGGAACCCAGGAGAGGGAGGGGGCCCATCTCCAGTTTAACCCTTGCCCATCAGCTCACTGTTGTGTCTGCATCTCTCCAGGCTGCTTGTGATGGGGCCTGAGGTCAGCCACAGCTGCCCACAAACTCTCCTATGGGCTCCCTAGCATGGTCCCAGGGTCACTGGCCAGTGAAAGCCAGGACCGAGTTGGGGAGACAGTAGGGAATGGCCTACTACCACTGGATTAGCAAAATTCTTTGAAGGAAGAAGGTGCTGCTGTAATGGAAAACCTCATCCTTCCCACCTTTCAGGGACTCCCTTAATTTCTTCTCTCTGAAAACTTGCCAGACAGGGTCTCAGCGTTGCCTGCTGGCCCTTCCAGAACCCTCCTCCAGTCAGAAGAGAAGGACAGGGTTGTTGATCATCTGACCTTGGTCTGGCTGGCGCCAAGGAGCTGGGGTTGGAGCCTCTCCCTAGGCTAAAGGGCAGGGCCAGTTTCCCCTGGGGCGTCTTGGGACATCTTTCATTTGCAGACTGGCCAGTGGCCAAGGTTTAAAGATGCTGGTTTCACAGTATGAAAAAGTCTGGGTTCCAACATTTACAGACTTCCTGGGATTGGGGTACTTCAGCAGAAGGCCCCTGTGGAAGCCCTTTCCTGGCAGGGTCTACCTCAGGACAGGATGAGGAAAGGAGACCAGCCAGTCTTTGGAGACCAAGACACAAAGGATGGGTAGTGGTGGGTTGAGTTTGTGGATTACACAAATTCCCCCAAAGCCAGACCTTTGAGGTACATGCAGTGATGCCTGTTTGGGTCAAAGCAAATAAGATCCGTTGCTCTACTTTCAAAATTGAAACGATCCCACCACTTCTCGCCATTTCCACTGCTGTCACCAAGGTTCTAAGCCACCATTATCTTGCTCACTTGGACCAGCACAACAACGTCCTCCTCCCTGAGCCCACTCTCATCCCTCTACAGATCAATCTCCACTCAGCAGCTAGGGTGATCTTTTAAAAATATGCAGACTTGTCCACTTACGTGTTTAAACTCTCCCGTGACTTCCTATCACACTTGGAATAAAAACCTAGATTCCTTCCTGCTAATTTCAAAGGCTCCATTTCAGGCACCTGTGACCCTTGTCTCCAATCTGACCTCAGGGACCACTCTCTCCTTCATTTGCTCTACTCTGCTCCAGCCACACTGACCTCTCCCACCTTCATAACTTCTCACCTGCTGCTCTGTCAGCGCAGGACACTTTCCCCCAGCGCTTCACACCTTCACTAACCACTAGTTTGCAGTGGCAACCACTTATCTCTGCTATTCTCTTCTCAAATCACCATCAGCTAGTAAAATTGACTTCAAAGTACTTCTGAGTCTCTGAAATGCTTATTTATTTGTCACTCTTTGCTAGAAATGCCAGTTTCATTAGACCAGGGCACTTGAGTGTCCAGGGACAGTGAGCGGCACATAGGAAGTACTCAATAAAATATTTGGTGAAAGAATGAGTGAACAAATTAAAGGAATGAGTTGCTCAGGGACTTCTAAAGAAAAACTTTATGCATGTCACTGTCAGGGTTGCAGGGTAGAAAAGGAGGCAGAGTGGGCCATGAGGAGGGAGGAATAGCAGGAGAGGGTGGCGTAGCACCCCTAATTCTGTGCTGTGGGGCCACACAAGATAGTGTAGTGTGCTAGGTATGGCTTCTAGGTGCTAGCCTCACCCTGGGCTTCCCTCCAGGCCTGGCGCACCTTAATCTTCACTTTGTAAGGGTCAATCAGAAAGACCACATTGGGTTTGCCCTCCAGGGAGGGCAGCTGCCCATCATCCGGGACCTCCAGGTCGAACCTCTGCAGCATCCAGGACATGAAGAGGAAGAGCGTCTGGCGGGCCAGGTTCTCACCTACACAGGAGCGAGGTCCTGCTCCAAAGGGCAAGTAGCTTAACGATGGCGAGATGAGCTGACTCCCTGTGGGGTCCAGGAAACGCTCTGTGGACATGGAGAGGCGTCAGGCAGGGGCCAGGGCCAGAGTAAGTAGAAGAGTGCCTCTGTCCTGACCAAGGAGCCCCCGTCTGAGGACGTGGAACCACCATGCCTGGGGGAACCCTAGCCTGAGGAGAGAGAACAGCACTGCTCTCAGGTAGCCCTTAATCACACAAAGGAAGCGAAATATTCAGGAAGGATAGACAGGAAGCAATATCAACAGATGAAAATGCCACCATCCGAGGGGAGAGAGAGCCAACTTAATGGGAGACATATGCCTAGAAGGCTTCCGAGAGGAGGAGATTTGCAGTTGTTGGAAGGAGAACGTAGGAAACCCAGCCGTGAATCGTTTGTGTAAATCTACGGTAGGATGGGGCGGGTATCAACAGGTCCATGTGGCTGGAGCCAGGAGTTTTCTAGTTGCCAGCTTGGCGGAGGGGAGGTGGTGCCAGAGTAGTGGAGCACAGAGGACAGGCTACTGGGGGCAGGACACAACACATACTCACCAGGCATGAACTTGTCGGGCTGGTGCCACTCCTTCTCATTGTGATGCAGCGCCCACAAATTGATGATAACATTTGTGCCCTTGTCAATGGCAAACTCGCCGATGCTGCTCCAGAGAGGGAGAGGAAGAGGGGGTCTGGAATGTTGTCCTCCCCTGCCTGCTTGGCCCTAAGCCTCCACAGTTCCCCACCCTGGGGAAAAGAGCCCATTACTCCCTCACGCCCACTCCCTCATCTCTTCCTCAGCTTCTGCTGGATTTACCTAATATGAACCCAGCCTTTCTCCAGCCTTCTCTTCCTGACAAGCACTTAAGTATCAGCACTTTTGCAGGTGGACATTCGTGTCTGTCAAGGCATGTGGGTTTGCATTTTGAGCTGGTGCAGTGTGTGTGTGTGTGTGTGTGTGTGTGTGTGTGTGTGTGTGTGTGTGTGTGTGTGTGTTGTGGCTATTGCACTGGGTAGGACCATAGAACACTAGTCTTTGATCCCAGACCACATGTCTCCAGGACAGCAGACAGCTTCGAAGGGAGGTCAGGTAGATCTGTGGGTTAGTCATTGGGTGTTAGTGGGTGGCGGATTCATTAATCAATAGGGTCATGGATAGGATGACTGACAGTCAAATGGTTGACTATAGGTTGGTTGACCAGCAAGCTGGGCAGGTGGGGGAGTAGAGGAGGGACCACCTGAGCTGGTAAACTGTTGAATAATGCATCAAAGGGCTGGATGTTATTGGGAGGGAAGGCACACCTAGAGTCGACGACAGCCTTATGGGGGATGAGCGTGGGGGCCACGGGCCTAATGCGAAGCACCTCTCGGATGGTGGCCTCCAGCAGGACGAGGTGGTTCCGGTCACTGATAGTGGGTGTGCGGCTGAAACCTACGTTCTGGTCAATTTCCTCCTGGATCTTCTTCTGCAACTGGGGGCCAGAGAAGGGTGGATGTGACCAGACTGCTTAAGTCCAGAAGAAGCATGGCCTTAGAAGAGAATCCTATTGTCACATTTGGGAGAGCCAGCCTACACCCTTCCTAGTGGTGGCTCTGTGGCCTAAGCTTTCCTTCCAGATGATGGGGCAGCTCTGTGCTAGGATCTGGCCAACCACTGCTTGGGTGAGGACAGGGCAGCCCAATCATCCTGCATAAAAGGCCTGGGGGTCGTGACTCTCCCTCTCTCTGGAGCTAGAAGCGAGTCTGACTGGGGTCGAGAGTGGTTGAGAAGACTAGAGGAAGGAGAGGCCCACCTGAGGATTGTGAAGCAGGTAGGCCGTAGTCCACTTCACCACAGAGGTGGTGGTCTCCAGACCAGCCCCGAAGATGTCCCCGATGGTAGCAAGAATGTATCGATCTGAAAGCAGCTCTGAATCCTGGTCTGGGCCAGTGTTGTTATTGTCCAAGTTCATCTTGGCTTGGATCATGATGTCCACCATGTTAGTGATAGAGTTGCTGCTGAAGTTCTCCTGGTTGGGTGAGGTTGGAAAACAGTGATACAGAAGTAGCCCCATCTGCAACACCCCGCCATACTTCCTTCCCAGATTGCAGATACAAAAGCTTCTTCTGCTTGGAAGCGAGGGAGTGGAGTGAGTCTAGTCAAAACCTATGAGTTGGTGGAGGTGAGGCAGTGCGAGGTCCTCTTTAAATTTTGGGGATGGATAGGTCCCATCTAGGATCCTCTTCAATTCCTCACTTCCCCACCCTTATTCCTTAGTTAAGTCAGTTTTTTTTTCTTTTTTAAGATTTTAATTGGGGAATTGGGGGATGGGAACAGTGCTGGGGAATTGGGGGAAGGGGAACAGACACGTTGGTGTCCTTTTGTTCTTCAGTCTAGTTGTAGAGGACATTGCTTCACCGGCCCAAGTTGGCACCATCATTGCGCTCTTCCTGGGCGAGGCAGATCAGTCGCCGGCTTCAGGACGGCCGCTCATGGCGGCTGCTGGCCACTTACGCTGGCTGCTGGCTACACACGGTAGCCCATGGCAACCCACTGCATCAGGGGCTGCAGCCTACGCCGTTGCCAGTGACTCACAGCAGCCCAGCTCCAGGTTGAGCTGTTGTTCAGCATCTTAGCTGTAGAGGGCAGTGTCACTCCTCATATGTGGGATCCGAACCGGGGCCCTCTGGCGTCCCAAGCCAGCTCTTAACTGACGCGCCCCTCAGCCGGCCCTTAAGTCAGTTTTTATTGAGTACTTAGTATGTGCCGGGCTCTCTGTCAGGTGCTAGAGATCCTGCGGTATCCAAAATTGACCCTAACCCTGCTCTCATGACACTTTCTTTTCTTTTCTTTTTTTAAAATTCAAGTCCACTTTAAAAATGAGTCTCATGACACTTTCAACCTACCTCATAATGTCTTCTGCACCATTACCTACCTTTTGCTTTGTGTAGATTCCCGTCAACAAATCATTTCGCATTTTAACACAAGCCGTCATATTTTCCAGGGTTTTGTTAGGGAAAATCTGGAAAACAGGAAGAAATGTCAAATCCAACCCTCTTCCAGTTTGCTCCTACAGCTACTAGACTCCCTCCTGGGGGCAGATCCTAGCCTTCTGTCTCCGGAGAGTTCCCACTCCAACTCCAACCTTCAGCCAAAATGGGACCATCCATGACAACTAGGACAATTCCAAACAAGGGAGAAGGCAGTGGTCTCTGCTTCCCCCTCCCCATTCAATCAAACATCAAGCACTGCTGGAGGGCTACTTAGGAGACTGCTGTGTGCCCAGCCCTTGAAAGTGAGATAGATTTGAGTCTGAGTCTCGGGAAAGTCCCTGGGCTTCTCAAAGCCTGTATTCTCATCTGTATGGGGATAATAAAACCTACCTCCAAGGGGAATGCCATGACTAATGCATGTGGAGTTCTCAATATAGGCACACGGTAATTACTAAATAAATGAGAGCCATTATCATGAGTATGAAATGCATAATTAAAAAGCTAAACCTGTGTATGTAGAGAAGTGGTGAGGTTTTAAGGGTCAGAGGAAGCAGAGGTCACTGTGACTGAGGTGGTCAGGAAAAAGGTGGGTCTGGAGCTGGGCAGTAAGAAAGAAGAATTGGGGACACTGTCAGGATCTGCTTGGATCTGAAGGTGGGGCCTGGTCGCATCCTCACCTTCAACTTGGGGAATATGTCTACCACAGAGCTTTTGCCCAGAGAATCCATGATGCCTTCGTTGTATTTCTGTATGGTCTTCAGCACAGGGTGCCCTTTCTTGTAAGAGATGCTGAAGCAGATCAAGCAGATTATGTTGGTCACCGCCAGGAAGAGAGGCAAGGACAAATCTATGGACTGTCCATTCTGGGTGGTCAGGACATCACAAAATGAACTGATTTCCTGACATACTGAGGGGAGAAAAGGAACATGAGGCTGGGGGATTAAGCAGCACCTTCACTTTCTCTCAGTTCCTTCTTAGCCAGGGACAGATAGCAGATGGCCACTAGATGGCAGCATTAGCCAAGAAAACGCTAGATTGGGCCATCCATAACCCTTCTCACCTCCCCAACCTTCTTCCTCCGGAGCCCCAGGGGCCCGCTGGGCACTTACTGATGTTCTCTAACTTCTGGTTGCCATCCTTGAACAGGGCAAAGGCGGACATCACCAGCTTCCGGTGCAGCTGCCAGGCGGCACCGTGGTCAGCAAAGGCAATGCCTCTTTGGTTGTCTGACAGGATGCCTAGAGTCGTCTTTGGAGAAGCAGGAAAGGCTGTAGGAAATCAGAGACCATCTACCCGCCCTTGCCCTGCGCCTCCTACATCCCATTCCCCCTTCCTGAGGGAGAAGGAAGCTACCCACCATGCTGGCCCCCATGTGGGGCATCCCTGTTCTCCTCCACCATGACTGTGAGGCCTTGGTAGGGGTAGGGCAGGGTCTAAGTCCCCTTGACTCCCAATTCCATCAGTGAGACAGAGTGAGAGAAAGAAAGAACCCTGAATTAAAATGCAGGGGTTCTGGGGTTCAGTTCAACCACAGGGTGACCTCTGGGCCTCGCATTTCTCATCAGTTTCTGACCAGGGGAAGGCTGCTGTTGATGGGATAAACTCTGAATTGTGCCTGTTCTGGGGGCAGGAGCGGGGGTAGGGGCTTGTAGCGACTGAGGACTGCCCAGACCTCTGCCTTTGCCTGGCCCTCCGAGGGACGTTAACACCCCAGCAGCTCATCTCCTTTTTGTTTTGCCCTTCCATTGCAAGGCTATGTGCCCACCACAGGGCCACATCTGGAGAGTGCAGATGTCTTGCCCACCCAATCTGAACTTGGACGAAGCCGCCTCTTCCCAGACGCACCCCAAAAAGCATAAGGGTCCAAAGCCTCCTCTGTTCTCTCCCCTGACCCACAAGCCCCAGCTGACCAGCCTCCTCCTTCCTTTTTGCACCAGAGAGAAGAGCTCAGCAGAGATGGGAGGGAGGGAGTCGGCAGCAAACCTGGCTGCCTGGTCCAAGGAAAGCCAAGCCATCCCTTGACCTGATCAAAGATGAGTGGCCGGGGGGGCCCTGCCTGGAGTGTTTAGGGGAGGACTCAGCAGCAGGGCTCTGGGATGGGGTGTGGGCAGTGGTCCTGGATGGTGAGGCCCCCGTTTCCCCCCAGGAGCACCACCGAACGTTCAGTAGGATGAATCATCATTGTCCTTGAAATGCTACCATGAGTCAGCCCCCCGGGAGCTGGAGCACCTGGGGACAGCTCCAGAGAAACAGCAACCCCAGCCCTCCCAGAGCCAGGCTGCTTCTCCCTTGCAGTTTCGCACAGAGGACAGTAATTACTGTCCCCATTTTTCACATGAAGAGGAACATCCGTAAAACTATTTATTAAGCACTTGCTGCACTGGGCACTGGGCTAAGGTCTTTCTATGCACTCTTTTAGCCAATTAGGGAAGTCTAGGCTGAGAGAGATCATTATCTAGTTCAGGGTGAGAGCTCCCTGACCCCCTCAGGCCACCGCTCTTACCCCCCACTCCACCTCTGAGGCAGCCCTTTCTTTAATTCTTCCTGCCTCAGTTCAGAGGCTAGGTGGGGCCTTGAGGGGTACACTCTCCACCCTTACCCCTGATAGTCCGTTTTTTGGAAGAATTACATGTCTTTGGAGCTGGAAGGGTCATTCCAGGTATGGTCTTGGCCAAAGAACTGAACAACCCCAGGGGCTAGCGGGAGAGGAGGCACGATGGGCAGTGCTTACCACTTGGGGCCGTCCGGAGAATTCCTTGCCCTTCTTGATAAGCACCTCCTTTGCCAGCTGGTGGTGGCCAATCATCACTGTAGTCTTGCTACCCATTCGAAAGGAATAGATGGGGCCGTATTTTTCCTGTAGCTTGAAGAAGTTCACATGCGGATGGCCATGTCTGGGGAGGAATGGCAGGCTGCCCACCAAGGGCAGGGCCGGGAGGTTCTTGGGGTACTTGGCACCAGGGCACTTTACCTTGGGCCAAAGGAAATAGGCTAGGGTGAGCAGCAAGAGAGCCAGGAGTCCCCACATGGTTGCCGGGCGCCGGCAGGCAGGACAGACAGCTGGGGAGCAGAAGAGCTGCAGCCACTCTAGGGCTCAAGGAGATCTTTTTAAGGGCTGCCCTGATCTTTACCTTGACTTGGTATTATCTCTTGCCTTGTGGAAGTTTATCCTGGAGGACAGCCAGGCCTGAACCCTCTCCCAGAATGGGGAAATAAAGAGGGAGTGGAGGCCTCCTAAAGGGCTGGCCCAACTCCAGGGCAAACCCCTAAGGGAGGGGCGAGGTAAGGGGAGGACAGCTTGTCCCCCTCCCTGTCCCCAGAGTGCGCCAGGAACAAATGGTATCTGGGTCAGGAATCAGGTTTGGGGCATTCTCTGCTGTAAAATCAAAATCCATGGATAGATGACTGTCGGGAAGGTTACAACCAGCAGGGACTGTCAAAGATATTTTATCTAGTCTTATTATGTAACAGCTGAGAAAATGAGGCCTTAAAAGGTTAGGTGTGTATACGATCACACAAGATAGTGACAGCAAGAACCCAGATGTCATGCTTTGCTGCTCCTTCCAGAGGCAGTGAAGCCCCAGGGTTGAGAGCATGGGACCTAGGGTCAGATAGGTTTGGGTTTAAATCCTAGCTTGACCACTTTCTAGCTATACGATGTTTTTATTTTTATTTTTTAATTGTTTATTATTTATTTATTTATTTATTTTGTATGCAAGCCTTCCATCCGGAGCCAGTGCACAGCTGGCCGAGCTGATAGCTCTCACCCAAGCACTGAAGCTGAGCAAAGGAAAGAGAGCCAATCTATACTGACTCAAAATACGCCTTCTTAGTATCACATGCCCATGGCAACATTTGGAAAGAAAGAGGCTTCTTAACAGCCCAGGGTCACCCATCAAATATCACCAGGAGATTAACACACTGCTACAGACAGTACACTCTCCTCAAGAAATAGCTGTCATACATTGCAGGGGACACCAAAGGGGGACTGATGAGATCTCTGAAGGCAACAGATTAGCAGAGCAGGCAGCTAGAAATGCGGCCAAACTAGGTCTCAATCCTATACCAGCTTCTCTAGTTTGGGATGGCTCCATAATCCAAATCAAGCCCCAATATACTCAAAAAGAACAGGAATGGGCCCAAACAAGGGGCTATACCACCCAACCCATGGGTTGGTTACAAGGAGAGGATGGTCATTTACATCTCCCAGCTGCCAATCAATGGGAAGTTCTGAAAACTCTCCACCAAACCTTCCACTTGGGAAGGGACAAAACTTTACAAATCGCCCAATAATTATTCACAGGAAAAGATCTTCAAAAGACTATACAACATATTCTTACATCCTGTGAAGTCTGCCATAAGAATAATCCTCTAACTCACCCTCAGATACCCATAGGGGTGCAAAGACAAGGCAAATGCCCAGGGGACGACTGGCAGTTAGACTTCACCCACATGCCCAAAGCCAAGGGGCATAAATATCTCCTAGTATGGATAGACACCTTCACCCACTGGGTCAAAGCCTTTCCTTATAAGACAGAAAAGGCAATAGAAGTCGTGAAGGTTCTAATCATGGAAATTATACCTAGGTTTGGCCTCCCCAGGTCTCTTCAGAGTGACAATGGACCTTCCTTCAAGTCCCCAGTCACTGACGGTGTATCTAAAGGCCTTGGGGATTGATTACCACCTCCACTGTGCCTGGAGACCCCAATCCTCAGGCAAGGTGGAAAAGACCAATGACATCATCAAAAAACATCTTGGAAAGCTATCTCAGGAAACCAGCCAGGATTGGATAGCTTTACTCCCCATAGTTCTCCTTCGCTTTCGAAATACTTCCATTAATGTGGCCTAAGCCCTTTTGAGATATAATATGGGAGACCTTTTCTAACCAATGACCTCCTAACCGACCAAGAGGCTATAGTTAACCCAACATGTAACCTCTCTAACTCAATTCCAACAGGCTATTTGACAATTGTCAGAAGCCCAGCCCTGAATGGATCAAAAACCCTTGTTTAACCGAAGGGATGAAGTTCTTATTAAAACTCTTTCTTCTCTATCTCCTAGCCTAGATCCTGTCTGGAAAGGTCCCTACACAGTAACCTTTTCCACTCCCATTGCAGTGAAAGTACCAGAATTCGACTCCTGGATCCACTATTCTCGAGTCAAGCCTTGGACACCCCCAGATCAGAGTCCTAAATACTCCAGCCATCCCCAGGGAGACCTAAAACTAGTTCTACATCACTCAGATAAGTACTCAGATGGTGGGACTTGACCCCAAAAAGGCAATAATCAGAGGTTACATTTTACTACTGAAGCAGGATTTTTTGATCCCGGTGTGTACCAGGATCGTGGTCTCGTGGAACCAAAGAATGGAGATACGGACCAGAGAGGTAAAGTTGCAGGAAAGGAGATTTATTAGAAGAAAAAATACATTTCAAAGAAGCAGAAGCGGGCCCGAGCAGCAGAGAATGGCTCAAGGGCCATTATTAGAAGAGAAAGTACACTCCAAAGAGTTTGGAGTGGGCCAAGCAAAGGAAGCTCAAAAAGGCCTATACGATGTTTTTAAAACATTGGTTTTATTATGTTAAAGTATACATACCAGGGCCGGCTGAGTGGCTCAGTTGGTTAAGAGCTCGCTCAAGAGCTTGAGCTCTGAGCAACAGTGGTTCGAGTCCAGCCCGAGCTGAGCTGCCAACAGGTAGCAGGATGGCTCAGCTAAAAAAAAAAATAATAAATAAAAAATAAAAAAAAATAAAGTATACATACCATAAAATTTACCATTTTAACCATTTTAAAGTATCCAATTAAGTAGCATTAAATATACTCACAATGTTGTATAACCATCACCGCTATCTACTTTCAAAACTTTTTCATCATAATTTGGTTGTCTGTGGAAAAAAAATTAGGAAGCTGGGGGTGGTGGTGGAAGACTGTATAGATGTTGATGTAAACAAAGCCAACTCCATCTTTGTATCCCTGAGTTTTCATGCTAAGACCTTTGACCAGCCTTAACATCCTTAGCAAAGCATACCAAAGCCTTCTAGTTGATGATTATGTGTGTTCCATAAAATGTAACCATAAATATTAAAAAAAAAAGATTTCCCGGTTTATTTGCATATATACAGTATCACCCAGGGAGCCATCTCCACTTCTAGAGTCCCCAGCTCCCTTCACCCAGCCAAAACCCCAAATCTACATAGGAGACCGGATCCTGAATAAATAATGCCCAGGACTCATGTCGCCACCCTGCAGGCTATAAGAATTCATTTAGCAAAAACAGAGCTGAGGCCAGAGTCCATGAGACATTCTTGCCCCTTTGTAAACATTGACAACCAGGCCACTGGAGCCTGGGGAAAGTATGCAAACATGAGGGTGCCGTACTGTGTGCCCAGAGGGCCAAGAACACAGCTGGCAACCATACCTATGAATTCCTGAGGACCTGCTCCCACTGGAGCCTGGCAAGTGCCAGGGGCAGAATCAAGGCAGCTACCCCATGCCTGAGGGCTCACATGAGATGGCAACGGCGCTTTTGCCCGTAGGAGTTCTCCACGTGGGCAATTGCCTGGATAACTTTGGTGAAGATGCCTTGATCCAGCTGATTCTCTTGAGCAGATGACTCCATAAATGTCGCACCCCACGACTCTGCCAGCTTCTTCCTTTCAACTGCCTGGACCTCCCCGTTTGGAGCGAGATCTGCCTTGTTCCCCATTAGCACCATCGGCAGCTGGGCTTTCCCATGGCCTTCCTGTAGCTTTTGGTACAGACTCTCAATGACTTGGAAGCTGCCCTGCTTTATCCACCAGGTGTAGGTGAAACTCGTCTTTGCCAAGAGTCACTATCTTGCTGTAAGCTACAGAGTGGTATCCGAGGATAACCACCTTTCTACAGCAGACGAGCGGCATGGCAGGAGCAGGTCCAAAAGGGGCTTGCAAAACTGCCAGTCATAAATATTTTTGTTAGTAATGGTTGAAATGGCATGACAACTGAGATAAATACCAGATTGGTCATAGTATCGATGATAAACAATTACCTTTCACAAGACCACCGAGTGGTATGGCCCCTGGCACAAACTGCATTCTTTGTCTTGTCAATCATGAGTACCTGGGTTATACCATTAAAATGCTATAACAGGAGTCTGTTAGCAGAGAATAATTTGTGCTGTGTCATCTGTCTGCTCCGACCCTACATTCCTGTAAGTAAATAGTAAATTCTTTTATGGTCTATGGAGTTGCCTGCTTTGTTTGTCAGTCTTAAGATACCTTCTCATTACAGTGGCCATTACACCTTTGCCCCACTGTTGGACAAGACTTTTCAGCGTATATACCCTTTTGTACCTTTAAAAAAATTTGAATCATGTGAATGCATTATCCATTTCAAAGTTGAGTTAAAAATTAAAGAAAAAAGGAAAAGAGGAACAGAGATAGAAAATGTTTTAACTGTAATAAATAATATATTTTAAAAAAATCAACCCCTGGGGCCGGTCAAGTGGCTCAGTTGGTTAAGAGCTCACTCAAGAATGTGAGCTCTGAGCAACAACAGTTCGATGCCCGGCCCAAGCTGAGCTGCCTCTGTGCTGCCAACAAGTGGCAGGATGGCTTAGCTAAAAAAACAAAACAAAACAAAACAAAAAGTTGACCCCTCCACCGATGTCCTGGATCCTGTTCCCTCATAGCTCCCACAGACCACAGATTCTTGTTTCTTTCATCATTTTTCTCCTGCATCTTCAACTCATCCTCTCTATTGTCTTTTTCTCCTCCGCTGACACATACATGCAAGACTTTTATCCCAAATGAAATTTAAAAATCTACTGATGCTACATTCCCCTCTAATTTTCCTTTAATTTCTCTCCTTCCCTTCAATCAGACTTCTTAGTAAAATAATATAATAGATACTCATGTCTCTATCTTAGTCCCCATTCGCTGTACACTTGTTGCAGTTTGGCCTCTGACCCCACCAAACTATTGGTACTTCTGTTAAAAACGTCAGCAATGGCCTTCATATTGCCAAATTCATTGGATGCCTTTCAGACCTTCTGTTATAAAAATTCTCCATTAGCATTATTGATTATTTTCACCGTCTTTAAACTGTAATATGAAATATCATGCAGCCCTGGGTTCTTTGTAATTCTTTTGTTCCTCCTCTTGTTCCCACTGTCATCTCATGTATGTCAAATCTGTCCTTGGCCCTTCTCCATCTACATTCTCCCTGGCTGATC